ATTTACACAAGAATAAGATATTCGTTTTATAATTTTTAATACGTATGAGAACGTACGAGAATGCTAATAGAAAAATTATTGTTTTGTTTATATATATAAATAATTGTTTTAATATACGTTTTTTATTAAGTAAACGATTTAAAATTACAAGATAATAATTTTAATAATTCTATTCAATATAAATATATTTGAAAATACACATATATAAATTAAATAAATATGAAAATAAATTAATATATTTTTTATATTTCTTTATTTATGACTTAACCTAAATTTTGAAAATTATACTTGCAAGATATCTTTATTTTCTTGTTTCTATTTGCCTTGTCGAATTATCTATTTTCATTTGGAAAACTCGCTTTTGCTTTGTTTTGAATAAAACATTTTAAAGAAACAGATGGAATTCGCACATAACACTTGCAGAAAGTCTTTGACGCCCACATTTAATTAACAGTTTGTCCAACATGAATCTATATCATAGAATTTAAAAAATACATTTCTTGTTACATTATATTTCGAAAATATAAAATTAATAAAAAAAATCTTTGTAAAAAAATTCATTTTATAAAATACTATAATTTACTGTCTATTAAAAAATAATAAATATCGTGTAATAAACTTTCTACTATTTGAATTAATATATTATAATGTTGGCTATTATTTGCGAACTACACCGGTCGGCATAATTTTAGAACGTGATTTTGGCGGTAATAAAATTTCAATATTAAATCAAATATTTTAACATGGTTGAAGATAAAAATCAAAGTGTAGAATTAACAGATCATGAAGCTGAGTTATATGATAGACAAATTCGATTGTGGGGTTTAGAATCACAGAAACGGCAAGTATAGTGTAATCTAACCTCTAAAAATTTTAAAGTCATAAAATAATATATATTTTAATTTCATAAAATTAATTAAAAAAATATTAGTAATATTTCTTTATATGATTAGTTTAGAGTAATCATTTAATCAGTTATATAAATATTTAACTTATATCTTTTAAAATTGATTTATAATATTAAACAATATTACAGATTACGAGCAGCAAAAATTTTATTAATAGGCTTAAATGGCTTTGGAGCAGAAATAGCAAAAAATATCATTTTAGCAGGTGTTAAATCAGTTACATTTTTAGATCATAGAAATGTTACAATTGAAGATCGATGTTCACAATTTTTAACACCCAAAGAATTAATAGAAAAGAACGTAAGTAAACAAAATTAAATATAGAAAGATATATTACTCACATTAAAAATTATATTCTTAGAGAGCTGAGGCATCTATACAAAGGGCACAAAATTTAAATTCTATGGTTAACATCGAAGCAGACACATCTAATATTGATGATAAACCAGATACATATTTTAGTAACTTTGATGTTGTTTGTGCAACACAATGTACCATTACACAAATAAATAAAATTAATGAAGCATGTAGAAAGCATAATGTGAAGTTTTTTACTGGAGATGTATGGGGAACGTTAGGTTATACTTTTGCTGATTTAATGACTCATGAATATGTAGAGTAAGTAAATTTCTAAACATTGTCTAGAACATTATTTTATTAATTTAATTTATTAAATGAATTCTTAATAAATTGAAACCATTTTATTTTCCAGAGATGTAGTACAAACTAAAAAAGTACAAATCTCAGAAAGTGGTGAACCTATGCAAAAAGAAAAATTTGAAAACATAACTGTAACCGAAAAACATGTAGATACTTTTGTACCTTTTAAATCAATTTTAAATGTTGCAAAATCTTCTCTTCCTAAAGACTCAGAAATATATTATATGTTATTAAGTAAGTGTTTCCTAATAATAAATTCTTTTCTAATAAGAAATTAAACTTCTTTTGCATTATACGTTTTTTTCTTTATTCTTTTTTTTTTTTTTCATCTATAGTAATGCTCAATTATCGTGAAAAATATGGCCAAGATCCATCTCCTAGTGAAAGAGGTTCTGAAAAATTTAAAGTTGAAGCTTCTACAATTATTAAAAAATTTGATCTTGAGGATAAAATAAATCATTTAGTCGAGTACGTATTTATAAAAACGTTATATATAAAATATTAAATTTTCAATTTATTTAAAAATAAATTTAAAAATTTCAGAGGTGATATATATGCTCAAGTTAGTCCAGTTTGTGCTATTGTTGGAGGCATTATGGCTCAAGAGATAATTAAAACGGTTTCACAAAAAGGTGCTCCACATAATAATTTATTCCTTTTTAATCCAGATACTTTGTGTGGAAAAATTTTGAGATTGGGTCAATAATTTTTTTGCAGGATGGTATGTCGAAATACCTTTTTATATTAATTGTCAGGATTATTATTTTCATAATTATTCAGTCCATGTTTCTTACAAAAAAAAAAAAAAAAAAAAAAAAAAAAAAAAAA